GTTAAAAAAAACAGACAATAAACAAGTTAAAAAAAGACAACAACTTAAAAAAACAGACAATAAACAAGGTAAAACAGAAAATAAACAAGTTAAAAAAAGACAAGTTAAAAAAACAGACAATAAACAAGTTTAAAAAAGACAACACGTAAAAAAACAGGCAATAAACAAGTTAAAAAGACAAGTAAAACAGACAATAAACTAGTTTAAAAAGAGACAATAAATAGGTTAAAAGCAGACAATAAACAAGTTAAAAAAGACAATTAGCAAGTTAAAAAGACAATAAAAAACAAGTTAAAAAAACAGACAATAAACAACTTAAAAACAGAAAATAAACAACTTAAAAACAGAAAATAAACAACTTAAAAACTGAAAATAAACAAGTTAAAAAAGACAATAAAAAACAAGTTAAAAAACAGACAATAAACAAGTTAAAAAGACACTAAACAAGTAAAAAAACAGACAATAAACAAGTTAAAAAAACAGACAATAAACAAGTTAAAAAAGACACTAAACAAGTTAAAAAAGACAAACAAGTTAAAAACAGACAATAAACAGGTTAAGGGTCAATTCATGTTTCCCCTGACTAGAAGAAACATCCTACTACCCACCAGCCCCCAAACACCTCTAATCATCATCATCATCATCATCATCATCATTGCTTTAAACCAGCTACAGATGAAAACAAAGTGACTGTTATCAGTCCCATAGAATGGCTACAGGCTGCACCTCCTCTACCTTCTAGAAGGTTCCTTATGGCTGATAATATGCAGCTCATCATTGATAACAGCCGATTCAGCAACGTCCAAAACCTTCAGTTTTATTTTAGATTTACCTACTTTATTCTTTTATTAGGAGGAGGGAGGATCTGAAGCCATTCTAAGGGACTGATAACCGCTAATAATGGCCATTTAATGGGAGGATTATATCCCAAGTGGCTGCTGAACACTCCTCAACTCCCTCATTCCCCAGAAACAGCTCTTCCTAACCCCAGAATACTGAAGTCCATGCAAACCATCGGGTGAAGCCTGTTGGTGCCTCAGGGTGGTGTTCCACCATACGCTTTCTTCTGACAGCATCACAGGCAGCAGTGGAGGGTCCTTCATCCCTTGGACATGAAAGGGTCTGGCTGAACCTCTCCCATCGGGCTGATGGTGCATTCAAGTGCAGTCTATTT